CTTGCGGGCTCCCAGGTGGCTGAGATAACAGACATGAGCCACCCACCTGGCTTCATACTATAATTTCTTACCTAGCCCCACACTTTTTGGTCCTTTTTATTCAGCATCTAGTAGGTGTAAAGTAGTATCTCAGGTGGTTTTGATTTATATTTATCTGAAATATAAATTATGAGCATATTTTCTTGTGCTTATGGGCCATTTGTATATCTACTGTGAAGAAATACCTAGATCCTTTGCCCATTTTTTAATTGGATAATATGTCTTTCTTACTGAATTGTAATAGTTTTTTATTCCATAGATAAGTGTTTTTATCTGATAGATGATTTGCAAAAATGTTCTCCCATTCTGTGGGTTGTGTTTTCAGTTTCTTGGTGGTGTGCTTTGAAGCACAAAAGTTCTAATTCTGATAATGTCCCATTTATGTATTTTTTCATTTGTTGTGCATTTGGTGCTGTATCTAGAAAATCACTGCCTAATTCAAAGTCACGAAGATTTAAGCCTATGTGTTCTTCTAAGAGTTTTATAGTTTTAGCTCTTATATTTAGATATATGACCCATTTAGAATTAATTTTTATATATGGAATGAGGTAAAGCGCCAACGTTATTCTTTTGCATGTGAATATTCAGTTGTCCCAATATCTTTTGTTGGAAAGACTATTCTTTATCCAATGCATTGTCTTGGCACTCTTGTTAAAGATAGGTTGACTGTAAATGAGAGTTTATTTCTAGACTCTCAGTCTATTCCATTGATCTATATGCCTGGTGTTTTTGTTTGTATTTTGACACAGAGTCTCACTCTGTCACCCAGGCTGGAGTGCAGTGGTGTGATCTTGGCTCACTGCATCCTCTGCTTCCCAGGCTCAGGCAATCCTCCACCCTCAGCCTTCCAAGTAATTGGGATCACAGGTGGAATCCACCACGCCTAGCTGATTTTTTAATTTTTTGTGGAAATGGGGTTTCGCCACATTGCCCAGGCTGGTGTCAAACTCCTGAGCTCAACGTGATCTGCCCGCCTCAGCCTCCCAAAGTGCTGAGATTACAGGCGTGAGCCACCGTGCCAAGCCTATATGTCTGTCTTTATGGCAGTACTACACTGTCTTGATTTCTGTAGCTTCATAGTAAGCTTTGAAATCAAGAAGACTAAGTCTTCCACCTTTGTTCTTTTTCAAGATTATTTTGGGTATTTTGTGTCTCTTTCATTTCTGTATTTTAGATTCAGCTTGTCAGTTTCTGCAAAGAAGCCAACTAGGATTTTGAATGGAATTATGTCGAATCTGCAGATTAGTCTGGAGAGTACTGCCATCTTAATAATACTAAATCTGCTGATCCATGAACATGGTATATGTTTCCATTTATGTAGGTCTTCAATTTCTTTTGACACACTTCTGCGGTTATCACAGTATGAGTTTTGCACTTCCATTGAATTTATTCCTAAGAATAGATGGTCCCCAGTTTATGATGGTTCAGCTTATGATTTTTTTAATCTTATAGTAGTGCAAAAGCAATATATGTTCAGTAGAAACAGAACTTTAAATACATACAACCATGCTGTTTTCATTTTCAGTGCAGTCTTCAATAAATTCATAAAATAGGCTTCATTTTAGGTGATTTTGCCCAACTGTAGGCTTACATGAGTGTTCTGAGCACATTTAATGTAGACTAGGCTTAGCTATGACGTTTGGTAGGTTAGGTGTATTAAATGCATTTTCAACTTAAAATAGGTTCATGAAGTTTTAGGATATAACCCCATTGTAAGTCAAGGAGCATCTGTATTCTTTTACTGTCTTAAATGGAATTTTTAGCTTATGTATTTATTTTGAAATGGGTTCTCATTGTGTCACCTAGGCTAGAGTGCAGTGGTGCCATCATGGCTCATTGCAGCCTCAATCTCTCAGGCTCCAGTGATCTTCCCATCTTAGCCTTCCGAGTAGCTGGGACCACATGCACATGCCACCACAACAGACTGAATTTTTAATTTTTTGTAGAGGTGAAGCCTTGTTACGTTGCAAAGGCTTGTCTCAAACTCCTGGGCTCAAGTGGTTCCTGCCTCCACCTCCAAAAGCATTGGGATGACAGGCATGAGCCACCATGCTCGGCTGTTTTTTAATTTTATTTTTGAATTGGTCATTGTAACCATATAGACAAACAATTGATTTTTTTCATATAGATCTCGTATCCCACAGTGCTGCTGGACTTCTTTATTCGTTCCAAGAAGGTTTTGTTTGTTTGTTTGTTTGTTTGTTTTCTTTGAGACGGAGTCTCCCTCTGTTGCCCAGGCTGGAGTGCAGTGGTGCCATCTTGGCTCACTGCAACTTCCGCCTCCTGGATTCAAGCGATTCTCCTGCCTCAGCCTCCTAAGTAGCTGAGACCACAGGCATGCACCACGATGTCTGGCTAATTTTTGTATTTTTACTTTATTTTATTTTGAGACAGAGTTTCACTCTTGTCCCGCAGGCTGGAGTGTAGTGGCGCAATCTCAGCTCACTGCAACCTCCGCCTCCTGGGTTCAAGTGATTCTCCTGCCTCAGCCTCCTGAGTAGCTGAGACTTCGGGTGTGCACCACCATGCCCAGCTAATTTTTGTATTTTTAGTAGAGACGGGGTTTCAGCATGTTGGCCAGGCTGGTCATGAGCTCCCAACCTCAGGTGATCCGCCACCTTGGTCTCCCAAAGTGCTGGGATTACAGACATGAGCCCCCACGCCCAGCCTAATTTTTGTATTTTTAATAGAGATGGGATTTTCCTAGTTGGCCAGGCTGGTCTCGAACTCCTGACCTGAAGTGATTCACCTGCTTTGCCTCCCAAAGTGCTACGATTGTAGGCGTGAGCCACAGCACCCGGCGCTAAGAGGTTTTTTTTTAGTGGATTCCTTAGGACTTTCTGTACACAAGGTCATGTCATCTGCAAATAAAAATCATTTTACTTCTTCCTGTCTGGATACCTTGCATTTACTCTGGATAGATCCTCCAGTAAAATACTAAATAGAAGTGGCAAGAGTGGACACACTTGTCTTGTTCTGATCTTAGGGGAAAGCATCCAGTCTTTCACCAGTAAATGATGTTTGCTGAGTTTTTGGTAGATGCCCTTTATCAGATGAGGAAGTTCTATTCTTCTTAATATATTTATCCCCACTTACTCCAAGTCCACCTGACAAGTCTTGTACACCTAATAAATGGTCAATATATACATGATACATAAAACTTTTATGATCATTTAAATCTCCCTAAAAATGAATATGAACAAATCTATCATGTAATGAATACTTTCTTCCATTTTCTTTTCTTACAAAAGCTCTCTTAAATTTGGTGTTTGTTTTATGCTAATTAATTAAATAATTTCTTGTGGTGGCATAACATACTGAATATACTTCCATCTTATTTGATGTTTCTGTCTCTCTGTTTTCTCTTAGTATAAGAAAATCCTTAAAATTAGATAATTTCTAAAGGAAAGGGGTCTATTTAGCTCACAATTCTGGAGGCTAACGGGGCCAAGACGGTTCATCTGCATCTGGTGGACTTCGGGTGAGGGCTCAGCTGTGTCATATCATGGCAGAGAAGCAGAAGGGGACGTGGGCATGTGTAAAGAGACCAAACAGTTGTAAGTGACAGACAGCCTCACTTTAAAATAACTCACTCTCAAGGGAACTGATTCAGTCCTGAGAGAGCGAGAATTCACTCCTGAGAAAGGCATTAATACCTCTTAACAACCTTATCATCTCCTAAAGACACCACCTTCCAACACCACCACATTGGAGACGAAGCCACAGCATGAGCTTTGGCGGGGACAAACCATATTCAAACCATAGCAATTACCTAATGGAAAAAATAGGCTTATTCCTTGAGATAAACTTATGAGGTGAACAAATTATTCCCACAGACTACTGGTTAGTTTTCCAGTAAACCAGTTGGGCGAAATATTTTGTGACAGGCCAGGCGTGGTGGCTCATGCCTGTAGTCCCAGCACTTTGGAAGGTGGAGGTGGGAGGACTGGGAGTTCAAAACCAGCCTAGGCAACATGGTGGGACACCATCTCTGCCAAAAAAAATTTTTTTTTTAATTAACCGGGTGTGATGGCACACACCTGTAGTTCAGTTATGTCTGAGGCTGAGGCAGGAGGATCCTTTGAGCCCAGATATTGAGTCTGCAGTGAGCTGTGATCATGCCACTGTGCTCCAGCCTGGGCGACAGAGTAAGACCTTGTCTCAAAAAAAAAAACCTTTTTCATGTTGTTGGTAGTATCTTAAGTTAGCATTATCCTCCATGCTCTGAGAGCAGCGTGTTCTATAGACAGCTAACTACATCTGGTAGTTCTCGTATTGATCATGGTTGTCTGTCTTTCCCTCTGAGCACATTTGTCCTTGTTTCCTGGTAGACCCTCCTGATTTTTTCTGTTGATATCAGTGTTCCCACAGTGTATACAGATAAGGAAAAAATAAATTACGATAAAATTAGAGCCAGATGTAAAATGACCAATGTTTCAAATAAGTGAAGGAGGATGGAGTTGTTTGCTTCGTTCTCTCTTAAGGCTATATATATAGTAGCTATCTGGGGAAGGAATTTTGGAGGAATAACATGGAGTCCTCATGGGAATAAGGATATTACAAATGTAAATAGGTACCTAAGCATTCCTTGACCACGTGAGGTTGTCGAATATTTTAGGCACACTTTCTTTTGGAGTGCAATGGTACGATCTTGGCTCACTGCACCCTCCGCCTTCCAAGTTCAAGCAATTCTCCTGGCTCAGCCTCCAGACCAGCTGAGATTACAGACTTCTGCCACCATGCCAGGCTAAGTTTTGTATTTTTAGTAGACACGAGGTTTTACCATGTTGGCCAGGCTGGTCTCGAACTTCTGACCTCAAGTGATACGCCTGCCTTGTCCTTCCAGCGTGCTGGGATTACAGGCAGGAACCACTGCTCCTGGCCCACACTTTCTTTATTACATTTTTATGTGTTTAAAGACTAATATTCCTCAATGCAATTCTACTTTATTTTTCAGATTTATACTATGGTGGGGAAGCTTCCTCTGTAGAGCAGCCACAGTCTTTTACTTGTCCCTATTGTGGAAAAATGGGCTGTACGGAGACATCTCTTCAAGAACATGTTACTTCTGAACATGCAGAAACATCAACAGAAGTGGTAAGTGAAGCAGCAGCCTTATGACTAAAATGATGTTGTAAAGTGCATTATTTCTAACATGAATAAAGCTAGGTCACTGTCATCTACTTCCTGCTCAGTGTAATGATACCATTTGCATAGTTATTAAAATCATCTTTTAACAGCAAATTTTATACATCATGGGAGGCTGCATTTTTGCATCTTACTGTTCACACTGGGTTTCTTAACCTGTAGCTAAAACCACAGCATGGAGTCTTGACCAAATTCAGGAGCCCTTTATTCAATGCATTGTGAAAGGTTAAAAGGACGGCAACCTGCAGTGCATCTCTTGTTACAGTATCCTTGCTCTCTGCTTAACTTTTCCTCTACGAGGAACTTCACAAGGAAATTTAAAAACCTTTGGTAGTATCATAATAATCCATTGTCACATCTCATTGTAGCATATCGCTGATCTTACCTGGTTTTCATCAGATCACATCTCTTGCCTCCTAGGTCAAGCTCTGGGGTCCCTAGAAGTTCTTCCTATCCTGATCTTTCCAGTGGCTAAAGGCCATGGACCCAGAATCATACACAAAGAAAGTCTTACCTTGAAAGCTTGTTGGCTTTTTTACTTGACATCTGAGTCAGCATGCATCCACCTTCAAGAAATGATAAAGTACACCTAAGAGTCTCTCCCCCACCTCTTTACCATTGATAATAATAGGTAAAGTGAAGGCTTTATATGGAACTATAGATACTGAATTGGGAGAATTTTGGCACAAGTAATTGCATATTGCATCAACTAATAAACCCCTAAATGTACTCAAAACAAATTAATTGAAACCCAGAGAAATAAAGTAGCATGCTCAAGGACATTCAGCTTAGTAAGGGGCAGGGGTAGGGGCAGGTGTTTGGACTCAGCTAGTGTCCCTCTGGGTTCCAGAGTCTCTACTTAACTCTGCTACAGCTATGCATATAATATAGGGTTACTTTTATTCCCACTGACACTGCTAGTTTGATGCTTGAAGTTGTTATAACATGTATCAAGCAGTAGGTAAATTTATTTTGTATAGACATCAAGCCAAATTTTACCGTCTTAACAGCTCAGAAATGCTCTGATCTTGCACCTAGGAGAGCCTCAGACTACTGTCGTCACATTTTATTACTATTCTTAGTTTGTTCTTTTTATTCTGTAAAGTGACTTTGCTTCCTTTTGGTACAGTCCCACATACCAGTATGAAGAATCCTGACTCAGTTGCATCTCCATGCTGGTTGTTGTGGAAAACTTGGAATCATTTTTCTTTGATTTAATTTCTGTTAAGTTTGGGTCCTTTACCTAAATACAATCAGATAAACATGGAGTTCTTATTGTAATTTAGGCATCCTTAAAATCATTATCAGACTGTGCACAGTGACTCATGCCTGTAATCCCAACACTGGGGCGGCTGAGGCGGGAGCATTGCTTGAGCCCAGAAGTTTGAGATTGGCCTGAGCAACAAAGTGGGGCCTTGTCTCCACAAAATTTAAAAATTAGCTGGACGTGGTGGCACATGCCTGTGGTCCCATCTACTTGGGAGGCTGAGGTGGGAGAATTGCTTGAGCTCAGGAGGTTGAGGCTGCAGTGAGCCATGACTGTGCCACTGCGTTGCACTGCAGCCTGGGTGACAGAACAAGACCCTGTCTCCAAAACAAAATTCTGTATTATTATATATATTATATGTAATATATAAATAGCATAATATTATCATTAATAAATATATATAATGATATATAACAAGAAATAATATATATTATTATTATTATCAGCCAGTAGTCCCTAGTATAGTATTCTCATCTCCCCACAAGGCAAGACAACCCAGTTTTCCATAACCTTGCCTCTGGTTGGTTTGCTCCCCAGCCCCCACCCCCGGGAAAGTAAATACTCAAAATTGGTTGTTTACACTCTGGCATACCTGATACATAGTTTGAAAATTAAATACCCACCACCTGCAAATGGTTTCATGGTCTGTTTCTTGTGAGTTGTGTTTATGCCTTCATTAAGTTTCCAGGCTTTTGGTACATAGCCCAAGGCAGTTGTCACTCTATTTTCATATGGGCTTTTGTGGAATATTTTAAGGATCTCTGTATATATGTGAAACATATTATCAACTCCAGTGTGCTACAGTTACATGTAATTGTCCAGGTGATAAGACTGTGTGTCCTCTCTCACCCCTCAATGTTTTGCATTTTTGAATTAGGGAATTCAAGAGTGATTTACATCATTTTGGTTTGGGGGATTATATCTACACAACAACTTGCTATATCTCCTTTTCTATTCCTCTTAACATGCTCCTTTTTGAATGCTCTGTTTGCTGTCTTGCTCTGCCCCACGTTACCTGCATGTGTCCTCTAGACCAGGGTTCCCCAACCCCTGGGCCACAGACGGGACCAGACTAGTACCCGTCTATGACCTGTTTGGAACCGAGCCACAGAGCAGAACGTGAGCAGTGGGCCAGCGGGCATTACCGCCTGAACTCCACTTCCTGTCAGATCAGCTACATTGTTAGATTCTCACAGGAGCACAAGCCCTTTTGTGAACTGCTTTCTGATTTCTTGGGAATTATTTTTCAGTATAGCTAAATTATATTAATACTATTTCAAGTTTTGTGAATTCCCAAGATGTCGTCATACACATAAATTTTTGCACAAGAACCATGTTTAAATGTAAAACATAATTGCTTTTTAGGACTTCCTAAATTACATGTAGATGCTGCTCTTTAGAAGCCAGTGACAAATCTAACTTCAGTGTTATGGGAGAATGGAATTGAGAGGGAAAATAATTTAATATGAAGTAATTCACAATTGTAAGTTAATTTCACTTATAATTGAACACTTATTAACTGTTCACTGCAGCAGCAGAAAATTAGATTGTAATCTAGTTGAACAGTGTGCTCACTCAACTCTTGAAAGGACCTTTATTTATATTGGCAAAATGGATGGCCAAGGTGCAGGTAGCTACAAGCTAGACGGTTCTACAAGGCCCAAAAGGAGTTTCTTGACCATGTAGCATAGATCATCCACTAGTCCTTTATGTATATTCTCAAAGCAAAACTTCAGTTTCTGTCTTGTATTATTATATCTGCAGATTTTGTAGGATAAACTAATACTTTTAATTGGGAAGGAGATCCAAAAGCCTGAAGTTGTCATTGGTCGTGGCAGTTAGTTAGCTCAATAGAATGTCTTTCTTCTCTTTTTTTTTTTTGTATAAGCACTAAAGTATAACACGTGTCAACAGGTTTTGTGTGTTGGCTTTAAATTCAGATGACTCTTTTTGGGTCATTACTCTTCTGTGGAAAAAGTGTTTTAAACCGCATTCTCCCCATTGCGTTGCAGGTGATCAGAAAATCCCTTGGCATAATAAGCCTGGGTGTTTCTGTGGCTGAGTTCTAAGAGCCGCTCAAAAGCAGAGACATGAATTGTACCCCAGTTTGAAGAAATAATGAAAAATATACACCGATTTTTAAAAAAAATTTTTTGGTAGAGACTGCGTCTCACTGGGTGGCCCAGGCTGGTCTCAAACTCTTGTCTGCAAGTGATCCCCCTGCCTCATTCTCCCAAAGTGTTAGGGTTACAAGTATAAGCCACTGTGCCCTGCCCCAATTTTGGCCCCAGTTTTTAAAAAGAGATGAAATTCATATGAACTTTTAATATTGGCAGGAACTATGCTCATTTCTTGATAATGTTTTAACCTAAAGTGTTAAGTTAGTTCTGATTTGGTACTCAGTAAATGCTTAATGGATTAGTCCATGGTAAGAAAATTATACAATATAACAGTCAGAACTTTCACTTTACCAGTTTACCTGGATTTCATAGCATAGATCCTTGAACTAGAAATAGGAAGGTGGTTATAAAGAATAGTTTTTAAAGCTGTGCATAGTACCCAGAGAGAGAATGCTGTCTGACAGAGAGAGGCGAGAGGAAATCCAAACTTGCTTTAGAATGGTTGATAACTGTATGGGGAAGAATGTGTGGAACTGTTGTTTAAAAAAAAAGTCACGCATGCTGACTTCAGGTGCTTTCACAGAGGAAAAGTTCTGTGCATTCAGCAGTGACTCGGTGTTTATATGTGGAGTAATGACTTCAGAAGGTATGTTTTAAAGACATTGGCAGCTGTGCTATATAATGTGCCCTAACTGGTTGTTGGCTGGCAGTCATGCCCTGGAACCACGTGGAAAAATGGAGACTCTGTATGTTCTTGGAATGGGACCTTATCTCAATTGGTAAAGGCTTCCAAAGGGGCTACAGATAAAAAGCAAGATTGATGGTGACCCTCAGTGGCATGGTGAAGGAGAAGAGGAAACTCAAGCAATAGCAGAGACGACACTGAGAATGGCAAAGACATTTGTGAATCCAAATGCTTTTGTTATGTTAGGTAACAATAACATTTGGTGCTTTCGCATAACAGAGTAAATACAGTTTTTGAATATCATTGTATATTTAAACTGTATTTGCCAAACTTACGTAGTTTGTTAATAATCAACCAGGACCTTTGTCAAAATAGATTGTTAAATCCCTCTCTTTCCAGGACTAGGAAACTGTATTTTTAACAATTGCTCCAGATGATTTATATTCTTTTTTATTTTATTTTATTTATTTTTTTTTTGAGACGGAGTCTCGCTCTGTCACCCAGGCTGGAATCCAGTGGCTCCATCTTGACTCAATGCAACCTCCACCTCCCTGGTTCAAACAATTCCCCTGCCTCAGCCTCCCGAGTAGCTAGGATTACAGGCGCACGCCACCATGCCCAGCTAATTTTTTGTATTTTTATTAGAGACGGGGTTTCACCATGTTGGCCAGACTGGTCTCAAACTCCAAACCCCAGGCAATCCACCTGCCTCGGCCTCCCTAAGTGCTGGGATTATAGGCGTCAGCCACTGCGCCTGGCCCTGATAATTTATATTCTTTTTTTTTTTTTGAGCCGCGCACAGGCTGGAGTGCAGTGGCGCAATCTCGGCTCACTGAAAGCTCCGCCTCCCGGGTTCACACCGTTCTCCTGCCTCAGCCTCCCGAGTAGCTGGGACTACAGGCGCCCGCCACCACACCGGGCTAATTTTGTGTATTTTTCGTAGAGACGGAGTTTCACTGTGTTAGCCAGGATGGTCTCAGTCTCCTGACCTCGTGATCCACCTGCCTCGGCCTCCCAAAGTGCTGGGATTACAGGCGTGAGCCACCGCGCCGGGCGATGATTTATATTCTTAGCCAAATTAAGGAAATACTGACTTAAGCCAGTTAAGTAAATCTTAATTGATAAGTTGTTATAATTTTAAGCTTGTGTGTTATATGGAATTTTCCTGTACGAATAATAGATACTACTCTATCATGTGGCAGTGGAAGTATGATAAATATTAATGTTGACAAGCTGTCATAATTTTAGGGTCAGTACCCTAAAATTAGCCTTGTGTTGAGTTTTCCTGTGCTGTAAGAGATATTAGGCACCATGATGTGGAAAGAAAGACACACTCAAAACTAAGAAGTGTTTGTGGCCATGAGTGGCACAGTGGCTTGCTTCCTCCCACTCCCCACCGCCTCTTTTCCATTTCTCCTGCCCCGCTTTGCTCTCCTTTTTCTTTCTTCCTCTTGTTCCCTTCATTTCCTTTCAGAAAACACAGTCTTAAGAACAAGCGTTTTTGTCTTAAAGCGTGCGTTAGCTTGCTAAATATAAAATGTAAAACCTAAAAGATGACCAGGCCTCTGTGGTCACATCAGCATCTGAGCTTAGTTTTCCTTTCCAAGTCCTCATCTGAGTTCACTTTATGTGACCCAAGTGTGGCAACATCTTCCACTTGGTTCTAAATCTAGCCTCTTGATTTTCTTTTTTCTGAGATGCAGTCTCTGTCGCTCAGGCTGGAGTGCAGTGGTGCGATCTTGGCTCACTGCAACCTCCACCTCCTGGGTTCAAGTGATTCTCCTGCCTCAGCCTCCTGAGT